GTTTTTGTTTTCTTGAATTGAAAAAATTGTTGGGTTTCATTACAATCTCCACATATTTCCCATCGTATTCAATTGCCATCGCAGACATGAAGAGAAGGCTCGTTGAAAATGTACTGCGCATCTATAAGAAATAGATCCACGCTGAACGATTTATTCTTTATCCTTCAATTCGCTGTTACCTAACTAGTTGTTTGTCGAGATTCTACCGCATCTTCAAGAAATCTGTCATGAATCCAGATGAGACAGCTTCTTTGTGAATACAACAATTACTGAAGGAAGTTCTATCATGAACAAAGAAATATTGGTAAATCGATGTTTTTCTTCAATAAGCAGACAAGAGGTTGTTATTATAGAATTTGTTAGGGTACAATAGCTGACGTCTCGGCCGTTTCGCCTTCTTCAGAGCCGTTTATTCGTTCCCCAAATATTCTATACCTTCTGTGTTTACGAGGACGAATTCATTCATGTGTGCATGGATGTGTTATCGTTTATGCGGTTTGTATTCTACGAGTCAATTCGGCCAAAAGCCTGCAGTCGTTGATAGAGAACTATATGGGAATCGGTTAGGACTCGCCCTCAACAAATAAGCTCACCGTCTTCTTTGGGAGAGACTGGAAAGCTACCCATGAGTTCACTCAGCTTCCACTTACATAACAGCAAGCTGTACGTGAGTATCAACAAACTAAACACAATAAAACAAATGAGCCTCATTCGGCGTACCACAAAAGAGTCCCGATGCGGCAAAGTTAGATAGGACCAGTACAGAAAGGCTACTAATATTCAGGGCCAATGGAAGCTGCCTGGATCACGAAGAACTATGGTGACGATCTGTACCTACAATGCACGTACACTTGCATCCGAGTCCTCGATAGACGACTTGCTCATGCAGGCAAGAGAGATAAGGTACGACGTCATCGGCCTGGCCAAAATGAGACGACGCCACCCATTCAACGCCGTCTATGACATCGGAGAAGAACCGTTCCTCGGAACATGCGACAGTAGAGTCGGCGGCGTCGGCGTTCTCGTCAACACGAGTTTGACCATGAACATCGATTCATTCGAACAACTAACAACCCGAATCGGACGTTTACGATTTAAAGGATATGGATCAATACTGGCTTTGACAATCTTCGTCGTTTACGCGTCGACATCAAACTATGACGAAGAAGAAGTTGAAGTGTTCTACGCGGACTTCCTACAGAGAAGTCCTACAGAGAAGGCCATACATTCTTCAAGGTCAGTGGGGATTTTAATGCTAAAATTGAGTGGTGAAGAACCTCTGAAGGGCATTACATTTGGAATTAGAGTGGCGCAGAACAGAATGAGCCCTATCTGAGTTTATCATGACGACCAAAACCGTTCATTGTAAGTTGCAATCCCAAAAGCCCCACTCTCAACGCTGGACGTCGAAATGTACGAACGGGAAGTACCACTATTTCAAAATTACAAACGGCATCAGGCCATTGCCTCCTTCGTGCAAGCTTTCGCTTCTCGTGGAAAAGAGGAGAAACCGCTTAATTCAGAAAACCAAGTTCCGAACCAACATGAAATAGGGTTTCATGCTGAGATATTTGCAAAATTCCACCCCAGGTGAATGCGGTGGGGAACGAACACGCTATTGTCTTTTTCGGAGAGCAAGGCGTTAACCACCACACCATGCGGGTCCTTCGTTTCGCCTGTCTTTCAGCTAGTTCTATCGATCTTTTTGCCATCAGCAATCACCCGCCAGCGAGGTTGATCTGGGGAGCGCAATCGCCAGTGAGGCTGAGGTTTTAGTTATAATCACAATCTTAACCGTTTTTATTTATTGCCTACTCTTTCCGATGGCAGGGTATATATTGCGAAATATAACTTCTATAATGCTGAGATTTTGCAAATATCCGGAATATCCGGAGTCCGGAGCTTTGCAAATATCTCAGCATCATTGAAGTTATATTTCGCAATATATACCCTGCCATCGGAAAGAGTAGGCAACAAATAAAAACGGTTAGGATTTACTCAGTTCATTAGTCAGCTGTTGCGAAGACGCCGTTCTTGACAACATCGATGAAGAATAAGATCGGCTAATTCAACAGCTTAACGTTAGCGCTATGAAAGCTGAGAGTTCGAAAGTCTCCAAGACACATCCTCCAGAAGTACTTGAGCTGACATGCCAATATGAATCGGACAGGCTACAGGCAACCGCCATTTAATATCCAAACTTGAAAAACGATGTAGAGACGCTATAAAAGAAGATCGTAAAGAGAGAAAAGCAGCAGTTACGTTTGAAGCTGCAAAGGCCGGGAAAAGCATTTGCAAAGCCCATCGAGACTTTGCCAATTACAAAACCATGATGGTTGCTCTCCGATGACCAGACGGAACAGTTGCAGTTTCAAGAAAGGCAAAAGAGAAAATCATTCACGATTACTACTCGGGTCTCTTCAATGGCCACATCCTCCTTACTTTATATGAAATAGAGGAGGTGAATATGTCGTACCCTCGGTTCTCCCTTCCGAAATCCAACATGCTACTTCGCCGGTGAAGAATCGAACAGTACCAAGTCCGTATAGGATAAGATCTGAGCACCCGAAGAACGTTCTCCACGTTCCCATCAACACACTAGTTCGGCTGTTCACACATTACCTGTCTGAATCCAAGGTTCCTATTTAGTCGATGATCAGCAATACTGTGTTATTGTTCAAGAAAGGTGACCTCCATGATATTGGCACCTACCGCTCAAACTGCTTCCTGTCTGTCGTCTGCAAACTCCGCTCGAGTCATCCCAAACTAGATTGACAAAACACGGGAAAAAAACCGCGTGCGAGCAAGCAAGGTTTGGAAAAGGATTCAATACGGTAGACCACATGCACACGATTGCAAAACTCGTTAAACATCAAAGCGAACAAGAGACCGCTCTTATGCTCTTAATTCTCTCTTAAAAAATTTATGGAAAACTTGTGACTCAGTTGAGATAGACAGATTCATGGAAGCTCTGGACGGCCAAGGCATCCTTACTTAACACATGAACGTAGCTTTTGAGGTATATAAAAATTTCCCTATCACAATATCACCATTCTACAACGATATTTACATTTACGTCAAAACAGAAGTTAACCAAAGTGATACCATCTCTTCAAAATTGTTTCCCACCACAATCGAAGTCGTCATGCGAATACTGGAGTTTCACAACATGGGAGTCAAAATCGATGGTCCGCAATCATATCATCTTCGCTTTGCCGATGATATCGATCGTTCTTATAACACCAAACATTAGCTAAGTGGAGCGAATGCTTGTCGACTTTAATAACACCTTTGAAAAGATTGGTATTCGACTAAATCTTACGAAAACAATGCTCGTGAGGAGCGGACTGGTTTCTTATGCGCCATTGACGCTTAACGGAACGAATATTTCCGATTGTTCTGCCTACGTCTACCTAAGTTGGAAAATCAACATAATGAGCAGCTTAGCTCCAAGGTTGAGTAGGAGGAAACGAATGGTCTATTTCGTGAGACAAAGAAGGAAGGACTTCTATTGGACGAACATTATAAGACTGAGCTGCGCGGTGCTAATTGTGTGTGGAATGGGCCGAGCAAGTGGTCCTATCTTTCCAGGTGGTTATGGATAGATTTAGACGTAAGGCAAGAAAAACGCGGGTCTTGTATCGTGAATTTTGAAGTACATTACATAACGGAATTAAATACTACCAAGAGAAATATATTGTCAATACAGAAAACATTTGGATGGATGGAAGATAAAGAACATCCACGAGAAATGTTGTCTATAAATTTTAGCGGACTTTTAATGTAAATAGAAAGTGAGGCGACGGCTTGTAGCTTTCGGTGTTGCGTTCTCTTCCACAACGACTTTCGAGTAGCTATGTAAGCATTCATGGTAGAATTTTTTTAATAATTAGTCACGGAATGCAGCGCTACGTGTTATGCATAGGATAAGGTGACATTAAGACAGCAGTAGTTCAGCTGTGTGAATGTGAAACATCTAAGGTGCTATTTTATGACTGAATACGACAACGAAGACACCATACAGCGCGGACAAACTCTGACTGATTGTGAACGCGAGCCATTGACTCTGAAGAAGACGATGATATCGAGGCGTTAGCCGGATAAATGTTTAGTAACAACTTTGTGTTAGCTCATCAGTGGAAGAAATTGCATCTAATGTATTCTCCGAAAGGAGGTAGTACATTGATATCAGTTGCAGAACGCAAAATAAAACAGCTAAAGAATTAGGGTGTGACGGATCAATAATAAATTTAAAGTAAGATTGTTTATTAGCAAAATAAGATGCAGATCGACGTAACTACATTTGGTACCGGACCCATTTAAGTGTGTGCTTGTGTGTATACTAGACCAGGCGTTTTGAATATTTCAACGTCGAAACCGATGATCACTTTTCGGATAAAGTTTGGTTGATTGCAAAGTTCGATGGATGAGGAGGGTATGATGATTGAGTTCGATAAATCTTCAACACATGGGTTCGGCATGAGGCATAAAAAATGTGGAACACTTAAATGGTAATCGTCTTGGAACAGATAACAATTAAGAACAGACCATTTCAAAACTCTACAAGAATAAATGAGTTGAGCTTATCTATTGGATCTCAGCTAGCTATATTTATGAATGGGGCACAATTAGTATTGCCTTTCATCAGGAGAGTTTTTTGTTTATTTATTCATTACCAAATGACCCGCCATCACATCTATTGTGCGGATCCCAGCACTTCCTCTACTCGATTCATTCATACTCGAATTCATCGTCACCAGAGGTTTTCTAACATTTCACGTGTTGCTCGGTTTGCTCCTGTTAAGGATTTCGTCTTCTTTATAAATGTAGTAGAATGCTGGTGGAGTCGATTCTCTTTGAAACCTTGGAGATAGCCAGGCCAAAGCATTCCCCCGTGGACCGGAGGAGACTGTTAGGGAGGATTTCGAATCACACCTTGCTTCTTGGTGGACTGCACTAGTAGCCACTCTATCACCCCTTTACAACGTTGAACAGTTTCTTGATTGGCGTCACAACTGGTAGTTTCTCCACATCGTGGAATCACAACAGTTTCGCGCTGAGAAATAATTGGGAAGTGTTGCTAATTGACAGCGAATGAGTGGTTTGCGGAGTTAATATGGTTCATAGGGCTTAAACAGTTCGAACAACTTTTTATCTTTTAAAGTGGAGGATTTTCCTCTGTGCGCGAGCAAAGGCATTCGTAGGTCGTGCTTGACGGCATGAACCCTAAGGCAGAGAATCAAGCCTCATCGCGTTGAGCTGCGGTTCCTCATTTTATTTTCTCCAGGAAAGCGACGTTACCCTACTGCGTCGTTATTACGAAAATTGAATTAGTACCTTGTTTAGTTCATGCGACCTTGGAATAAGTTTTCGTTCTCGTTATTGTTGTTGTCGTCGTTATCGTTGCCGTTGTTGTTGATGTCGTTGGTCGATGACTGACGTTTCGGCGTTTTCACCTTCCTCAGAGCCGTGCTGTTATGAGTGGGACAAACGTTAGCAATCGACCAACAACAGTGGCAACGACGACAACAACAACAACGACAACGAAAATTTATACCAACCTCGTATCAGCTCAACAAGATCATACAAATAAATAAATAGAAGGACAAAGCTCTCGGCGTTGATCAATCCAGGAGGGATGCCCCATGGATGCGATTTCATTAAGCATCGTTTAGAGCTGATTGAATGCAAATCTGGCCTTTTCAATGGCTCGCGGTGGTCCACCGATGTATCGAGCCAGTGCTGCTATCCTCCCAGAGGAGGCTGGTAACAATTTGCCGACTTCACAGAGATGCAAGGTTTGGTGGGCCTTGAGCGCGCGGATCAAAGGGCAACTGTGTTACAGGGCCCCTCCGACCACTGCGCCACATGCGCCCACATAGAAAGTAGGTCTTTTGAAATAGTACTCCTTTTCATGTGAAGCTACCAGTAATACATTCATGAATTACGGATTTTTCGACCACTAGTGGGCATCATAGAGGTAACTGAACCCATATTTGGCTCATTCGATAACTTGCAGTGGATTACCGATGTATCCAAACAGTGACCATTGTCTTCAGAGATTAGTCTTATCCCAAGTTGCCAATTCCAGGGGTTGAACAGCTTTTTTTTTCCTGAGATGTGGTGTCGAACAAACGAAGTCGTGTGTAATGATACCTCTAACAACTTCGCTACACGCGCCCGAAGGTTCTTTTCTAAAACCGCGTTCACTAAATATTGTTCATTAATGCTCAAAAAGTGGAAAGATGAAATAATTAAATTTTTCCCATGTGCGGGACAATCGTTGTTGCTGTGATTGGCGAGGTGTTCGAGAACATCATAGTTTCTTACTGAGTG